TTGCAAGTGGTAGTGAGCCGTAGCCACCTCCGAATGTCCCTGTAAGAAGGAAACAGAATATATTGCAGGCCCTCGCTGTGTGGTTCGACGGCTTCTCGACGGGGGTATAGCTCAGTTGTAGAGCATTCGACTGCAGATCGAAAGGTACGTTGTTCAACTCCGCGTGCCTCCTAAATTTTGTAGGCCTCCAAGAAAACTCCTTGCAAGTGGTAGCGAGCCGTAGCCACCTCCGAATGTCCCTGTAAGAAGGAAACAGAATATATTGCAGGCCCTCGCTGTGTGGTTCAACGGGTGTATAGCTCAGTTGTAGAGCATTCGACTGCAGATCGAGAGGTCCGTTGTTCAACTCCGCGTGCCCTCTAAATTCTGTAGGCCTCCAAGAAAACATTTTGCAAGTGGTAGTGAGCCGTAGCCACCTCCGAATGTCCCTGTAAGAAGGAAACAGAATATATTGCAGGCCCTCGCTGTGTGGTTCGACGGGTGTATAGTTCAGTTGTAGAGCATTCGACTTCAGATCGAGAGGTCCGTTGTTCAACTCCGCGTGCCCTCTAAATTCTGTAGGACTCCAAGAAAACTCTTTGCAAGTGGTAGTGAGCCGTAGCCACCTCCGAATGTCCCTGTAAGAAGGAAACAGAATATATTGCAGGCTCTCAGTTTGTGATTCGACGGCTTCTCGACGGGTGTATAGCTCAGTTGTAGAGCATTCGACTGCAGATCGAGAGGTCCGTTGTTTAACTCCGCGCGCCCCCTAAATTTTGCAGGCCGCGAAGAAAACCCTTTGCAAGTGGTAGTGAGCAGTAGCCACCTCCGAATGTCCCTGTAAGAAGGAAACAGAATATATTGCAGGCCCTCGCTGTGTGGTTCGACGGTTTCTCGACGGGTGTATAGCTCAGTTGTAGAGTATTCGACTGCAGATCGAGAAGTCCGTGGTTCAACTAGGCGTGCCTCCTTAATTTTGCAGGCCGCGAAGAAAACCCTTTGCAACTGGTAGTGAGCGGCAACCACCTCCGAATGTCCCTGTAAGAAGGAAACAGAATATATTGCAGGCCCTCGCTGTGTGGTTCGACGGGTGTATAGCTCAGTTGTAGAGAATTCGACTGCAGACCGAGAGGTCCGTTGTTCAACTCCGCGTGCCCTCTAAATTCTGTAGGCCTCCAAGAAAACTCTTTGAATCTGGTAGTGAGCGGTAACCACCTCCGAATATCCTTGTAAGAAAGGAACAGAATATACTGCAGGCTCTCGGTTTGTGATTCGACGGCTTCTCGACGGGTGTATAGCTCAGTGGTAGAGTATTCGACTGCTGATCGAGAAGTCCGTGGTTCAACTAGGCTGCCTCCTGAATTTTGCAGGCCGCGAACAAAACTCTTTGCAAGTGGTAGTGAGCGGTAGCCACCTCCGAATATCCTTGTAAGAAAGGAACAGAATATATTGCAGGCTCTCGCTTTGTGATTCGACGGCTTCTCGACGGGGGTATAGCCCAGAGGTAGAGTATTCGACTGCAGATCGAGAGGTCCGTTGTTCAACTCCGCGTGCCCTCTAAATTCTGTAGGCCTCCAAGAAAACTCTTTGCAATCGTAGTGAGCAGTAGCCACCTCCGAATGTCCCTGTAAGAAGGAAACAGAATATATTGCAGGCCCTCGCTGTGTGGTTCGACGGTTTCTCGACGGGTGTATAGCTCAGTTGTAGAGCATTCGACTGCAGATCGAGAGGTCCGTTGTTCAACTCCGCGTGCCCCCTAAATTCTGTAGGCCTCCAAGAAAGCTCTTTGCAAGTGGTAGTGAGCAGTAGCCACCTCCGAATGTCCCTGTAAGAAGGAAACAGAATATATTGCAGGCCCTCGCTGTGTGCTTCGACGGTTTCTCGACGGGTGTATAGCTCAGTGGTAGAGTATTCGACTGCAGATCGAGAAGTCCGTGGTTCAACTAGGCGTGCCTCCTTAATTTTGCAGGCCGCGAAGAAAACCCTTTGCAACTGGCAGTGACGGTAGCTACCTCCAAATGCACATCAATGAAAGCAATACCATGCATATCACGCTCTCGTTTCCTCGTTTTATGGGGGCATATCAGTGATATAACTGAGTGGTAGAGCATTCGACTGCATATCGAGAGGTCCGTGGTACAACTCCGCGTGCCAACTAAACTTTGCAGGCCGCGAACAAAACTCTTTGCAAGTGGTAGTGAGCGGTAGCCACCTCCGAATATCCTTGTAAGAAAGGAACAGAATATATTGCAGGCTCTCGATTTGTGATTCGACGGCTTCTCGACGGGTGTATAGCTCAGTGGTAGAGTATTCGACTGCAGATCGAGAAGTCCGTGGTTCAACTAGGCGTGCCTCCTGAATTTTGCAGGCTGCGAAGAAAACCCTTTGCAACTGGTAGTGAGCGGTAACCACCTCCGAATAACCTTGTAAGAAGGAAACATATTATATTGCAGGCTCTCGCTTTGTGATTCGACGGTTTCTCGACGGGTGTATGGCTCAGTTGTAGAGTATTCGACTGCAGATCGAGAGGTCCGTGGTTCTACTCCGCGTGCCCCTAAATTTTGCAGGCCGCGAACAAAACTCTTTGCAACTGGTAGTGAGCGGTAGCCACCTCCGAATATTCTTGTAAGAAAGGAACAGAATATATTGCAGGCTCTCGATTTGTGATTCGACGGCTTCTCGACGGGGGTATAGCTCAGTGGTAGAGTATTCGACTGCAGATCGAGAGGTCCGTGGTTCTACTCCGCGTGCCCCTAAATTTTGCAGGCCGCGAAGAAATCTCTTTGCAATTGCAGCAACTCCCAGGGCCGACTTTATATTAATCACGGCATTGATCAAATTATTCTTCGTATTTTTATTGAGCAAGTGCGAGGTGCTATTATTCTTTACTCACGAATATGCTGACGTTTGGGCGGATTTCGCCTTCCTCAATGCCTTAAAAGGTCATGTTGATAGCAATCTACTCGGCCAGACGCCTCCATAACCAAACAAGATATTCTAAATCAAGATTTCAATAACATTGAACACAGCTTTGCACACTCACCGGTTCCTATGAGGTTTCCACTAAGTATTTCTCGTAGAGACCAAACGCACAGAAATTACATAAAAGCATAACGTCTTCCTCCCATCACAATAGTAGTTTTATATACTGCCCTATATAACGCGTGATAAGGAGGCATTCTTCCTTGCGGTTCATTTTCGTATTTCTGGAATTAATCCAGAAAACCTCGAGAGTTTTTCGCGCCTGTGTTCCTGATTCGCGTGCGAGGATCGTGACGCATACTTCAAAGTCCTCCCCGTTATGTCTCTGGGTCCTATGCGTGCCTAGCGGGGTATTTGGTCTATTTTTGCCGGCTAGGCGTTCTTTCATGCGAACACAGAGGTGTCTACCCGTTTCGCCAATGTATTCGTCACCGCACGTCTTACAGGATATCAGATAAGCTATACCCCAGCTCATACAATCACCGTCCCTACCACTGAGGCAAATTACGCAATTTTGAGTTGCACGTAGACGGTTATATAGGCGGTTACGAACTAGCTGGCGCTTAGGATTACTCGTTGGTATTTCAACTACGCTTAGCGAATTCTCTAAACCCGCCCTTCTTAAGCCGCGTTTTATAGCTGTACTTATATCATTTGAGATGAAGGGTAGTATAAACGGGACCCTCCTATCGCTAGCGTTGTCGTTTAGAGGGCTACGTTTTCCTCAACACCTATCCTGAGCTACAGTATGCGGCCTGCATAGAAAGTCGGTAGTGGGAGTTACTGCAATTGCAAAGAGTTTTCTTCGCGGCCTGCAAAGTTTAGGGGGTACGCGGTGTTGAACCACGTACCTCTCGATCTGCAGTGGAATGCTCTACCACTAAGCTCTATCCCTGATAGACCCCTAAAGCGAGGCAACGAAAGCGTGCGCTACACTCTATTTCCTTCATACAACGGCATTCGGAGGTGCCTACCGGGCACTACCACTTGCAAAGAGTTTTCTTCGCGGCCTGCAAATTCATGGGGCACGCGGAGTTGAACCACAGACATCTCGATCTGCAGTCGAATGCTCTACCACTGAGCAATACCCCTAATAAGCTCCCGTGAAACGTGTGCAACGCGAGCGTAAATTGCATATTATTACTTTCATACAAGTGCATTTGTAGGTGGCTACCGGTCACTACCTTATGCAAAGAGTTTTCTTCGCGGCCTGCAGAATTTAGTGATCACGCGGAGTAGAACGAGGGACTTTTCGATCTGCAGTCGAATGCTCTGAGCCATACCCCCGATGCGCCACAGTTAAACGAGGCGATGAAACGGGCGCTTCATTTTATTGCTTTCATGAAAGAACGTTAGGAGATTTGAATCGATCACGAGCTTATGCTCGGAGTTTTAAATGCGGCCTACAAAACTCAGGGGGGTCGCGGAATTGAACCACGGAGCTCTCGTCCTTAGAGGGACATTTGCAGAAGGCTAGCGATCACGACGTTACGCGCTGAGTTTTCAGTGCAGCCCTCAAAATTCATGGGAAATGCAGAGCTGAGCCACGCATTTTCGATCCGCAGCGGAGCGTTCTTCGGTTATTTTTACGTGACACATTGAATGCAAGATGACCGCAGTTTTTTATGCATATTTTCTCTCGCCATGTTAGGCAGTTCTCAGAACTTCGCCCCTAATTCACCAGTTGTGTATTTGAGAGTTTTGTCATTGTGCGATTAAAATTTACTGTTAGAATTTGCTTTTTTTTAATTTGCAACGATTTCTGCATGTTGCCAGTCCACCTAGCGATGGCAACGTGAAAAGATGAATCGTATTTGTTCGGTATTAATACAATCATAGAATTGTATGGCATTAGTCGAATAAAGAATGTGGAAACGGACGCTATGAACATAAAAAAATCTCGAACATTCGATTACAAATAGTGAAAATCTTCGAAAAGAAATATACACGGAGCTAAAGTAATGCGAAAATCGTTGTTTGAACGGCTATCACTTAATTTTTACACATAGTGACAATAGAAATGATTCAAACGACGTGAGTTAGGCGTCATTTATGAATACTTGCACTTTTGCCGTGAACCATTTCGGGTATTTCATGTAGAAATCATGGTTGCCTTGGGCGTGAACTTCTAACCTGAAGCATTGAACTTTTAGGGAAGTTGCACTTAATATTGATAGAGTGTAAGAAGTATAAATGTGCACGAAAAGGTTAACTACAATCACAATGACGTTGAAATATTTGCAAAACTGCGGACCACAGTTGTTTGGTGGGGAACGAACGCGTTATTACCCTTCTTGGGGGCTAACGCGTTTACCACCACACCATGCGGGTCTTTTGCTTCGGCTGTCTCTCACCTAGTTCTATTGATCGGCCATCAGCAACCACCCAACAACGGGATTGGTCTTCTAGTGACTAGTAATCGGCACTGAACCTAGTTAAGATGAGGCTGTCGTCTAAATCACAATTTTCAGTTTTGAGCCGCCAGAACGGTAACAGCGCGTTCGTTTCCCGCCGCAAACGTTTGTGCTCCGAAGTTTTGCAAACATCTCAGCATCATTGTGGTTGCATTTCGTATTATACCCTGCCGTGAAAAATTATAACAGGCAGCAAATAAAATGCTAGCATTGAATACAATAGATAAGATGTTACAGTAATACACGACTTCCGGTAATTTTTATGTTACTTCTTAACATGGTCATGAAAACTGATTTTGTTGAGCTCATGCGAAATTGGCATAAGTTGTTGGTCGATATCTGACGGAAGAGTCCCATTCGCAACAGCACGGCTCTGATGAACGCGAAATCGCCAAAACGTCAGCCATCGACCAAGAACACTAACAACAACGACAACAACAACAACAACAACAAGAGTGGAAACTTTTACCAGCCTCGCATCAGCTCGACAAGATCAGTTTATATGATCGTATGAATAAATATATCAAGTATTTATGCCGAGGTTTACAGAAAGTCGGTCTTTTGAATTCTATGTAATTGATAAAAGGTAGTGACTTTTTTTAATTTTATTTTATTACGTGACCCAACACCAATGTATCACCCTGGTCGGATTCCAGCATGCATTTGACTCGTGTCCTCGCAGGCACCATCCGCAGAGGTTATTGAACTTCTCGCGTGTGAATTTGGATGCAATTTAACGACCTTCGTCTCCATCACTAATGTCCTTGAATGCTAGTGAAATCGCTTCTCTCTAAAACTCTTAGATAGACGTGCTAGGACGTTCCCACGTTGATTAGGAGAGTGGGCCTGTCCCAGACAAAATTGGTGTCAAGTCCCCGAACTCGTAGGAATGAGTCACGTGGTGTGCGCAGAACGGGCTTGATTCAGTGCCTCAGTGGGCTGTGCCGTTCGCGTTATGAACGGGCCACTACCACGACGGCTACGCGCTCCTTCAACAGATGATGAGTGTTATATAATACATAATGCGTAGTATACAGATTTACAGTGCCTTATCATATTATCCGATTCGAATTTGCTCATAACTATGATCTACTGGATGATAACTCAAACTGGGGAGTTTAAGGTTGCCATCTGGTCGCTCAACGACAAACGAAGACCGAAAGTAAAAAAGGTAAACCTCTCGGTGATAAATCCCTGAGGGATTCAACATGCATTCCACTTCATTGAGCATCTTTAGAGGTAACTGAATGCATAACTGGCCTATGAAATAATTGACGGTGGCCTACCGATGTGTCAAGCCAGTGCTCCTGTCCTCCTAGACAGGTCTGGTACGAATTTACTGACTCCGAAGGGATGGAAGGCTTGGTGAGCCTGCGGCGTCGGATCGAACCAATGTGTATTGCAGGGCACCAATAACCACTGCACTACACGCACGAAAGGTGACATCACGAAGAAAAAATCGTTGAGATCTATACGAATAACCGCTAGCAACTCTGATGAACTTAGATAGTGTTACCGTCACCTCCTGATGTTATATTGATCGGATAACGCAGAAGTTATGTTCCGATTTCATTTCTTCCGTTCCACGATCTTTTTGATAGCCCCAAACATTCTTCGCTGGAGGAAAAGAAAACCAACTGAAATTCTTCTTTGTGAACTTCGATTTCAGACTAATTTTGCAAACGGAATTGTTAGGTGCAAGAGGATTGCCAGGCGTCAAAGAAGATGCGCTAGAACTTCAACAAAGTGAGAAAATGATATGGTTTAGCCTAATTCAGAATAAAATGTGCATCGTAAAAAGCTCTTTAGAGGTTAATGAAAAGAAGCAGAGTTTTTAATAGCAAGACCCACATTACCCGAATACACAGTGAAAAAGCGTAAAAAAAAACAGAATTCATCAGAAATTGTGCAGCAGACAACATAAATTGTGTTTCCGCATTTCAAGGAAACCAGAAATTGACGGAACCATCTCGATCACTTTTTTTCCATCTACAGCCTTCTCAGTGGTCTTCTATGCAGTTTAAATATGTATCCCAACATCGTTGAAAATTTCACTCACTACCAAGCCGAAGTGGATAGGTTGGATGTTTGACAATCCCGTATTACTTCAAGAAAATACTTCAAAAACGAAAGACAAATGGGTTGGGCATGTAATGACGACAATTCGCGACAGCTAGACGAGGAGAATGATGGAACGGACACCAAGAAAATATAGACGTCCTCGAAGGAACCACCTACTAGGTAGGGAGATGTTCGTGACTCGCATCAATGAACTGCAAATGAACTGAAGATGTAACCGCACACTTGTCGATGAGCACGGAAAAAAAGGTTTCGTAACACTTCCGTACGGCGGAATACAGTTTCGAAGCTTGCCAGGCTTTGTGAAATTAAGTTTGCAGCTTATGATTGCGTAGTTTTCTTGTTAAGCAATCGCGACGTTTTTAAACAGCATACATTTACTTCCATAGAGAAACACAATGCAATACAACACTAGTTGACGTTTCGGCAGTATCGCCTTCTTCAGAGCCGCTTTTTCGTGACTTCCAATGAGGAAGTTTAGAACAGCTGATTATAGTCGCTACCCAGTCGTCAACTATATGCGACTATAATCAGCTGTTCTAAACTTCCTCATTGGAAGTCACGAAAAAGCGGCTCTGAAGAAGGCGATACTGCCGAAACGTCAACTAGTGTTGTA